GGGAAACTCGGCTAAGATGATTTACCTACAGCGTGTAATAGTAAGAAACTTTTATATGTATTCTGTGGAGTAGTATAGAGCCTTGGAAATTCCTTGTTTCAGAAGGAACATGGGTAATGGGTAGGTTTCCTTCTATCTGCATGTATTCTTTTATGGTGTCTTCTAATTCCAGGCTTACTCATACACACAGTCAGCTCTTGAGGGAGAATGAAGTTCTCCAAACCGATCATAAGAATCTGAAAACGTTATTGAACAATTCCAAGCTAGAACAAACACGATTAGAAGCTGAGTTTTCTAAACTCAAGGAACAGTACCAACAACTAGATATTACATCAACAAAACTAAATAATCAATGTGAGGTATGTGAGAATTACGATATTTTTCATGACTGGTATCATTGTAATATTTATGTATTTGTCAATTCATAAAATCATATGAAGTGCTTGAGAATTAGTCATTTGATTTATAGATAATTAAGTGGGTCTGAAGACAAATTAATTTGCCTGTTAGCAATACAAAAAATGAGGCTCGTGTTAGGTAAACTGTTTTAAGTTATTAAAGCATCAAAGAGGCTTTTATCAGTTGAGTCATGATTTAGTTAAGTTTTCTGTTTGATTTGACTATCAGAATCCTTTGTGGACCTAAATTTTCTTTATAATCGCATTATCTGTGTGTAAAATATGCTCACATCTATATGCATGTACCATTTGATATATTTTATATATTTTAACAGCTGCTTAGCCAGCTTAAAGGAAATCTGGAGGAGGAAAACAGACATCTACTAGATCAAATTCAGACATTAATGCTACAGAATAGAACATTACTTGAGCAGAATATGGAAAGCAAGGATCTCTTCCATGTAGAGCAAAGGCAGTACATGTGAGTTTTTAAAACAATGAAATTACTGTGAATAGGGCAGTTACACGAATACCTATATTTTTCTTGAAAAGCTTCTGTTTTATATGGAAATTAATGCGTGTGCTACTTCTGAAATATTTCTCTTCTTAAAATAACAATTTAAATTATATGTAAAAAGCAGATAACAAACTCTGAACACTATATTTTTAGCTCTAAAGGATCAGTGCAACTGTGTTCATTACTGATGATGCAAATGAGGAATAAAAATGTTATTTATTCCTCATTCTGCTACAAGCAATGTTCCTAGGTTCGGTTGTAATCTGTAAACTTCTTTAGTGAATTTGAGAGAAGAGAAAAATAGACTTGTCTAATTGATTTTGTTAGACCCTATCTACACTTTATTATTATTAAAAAAAAGGGAAAATTCTGTTTTGTATTAAAGGTAAATGAAAATTTTTCAATTTTATAATATTAAATGTAAGACTGCTTGTTTGCTGTATCTGTCTCTTGGGTTTTCAATACAAAATAAGTGTTACATAAGAATTCCTCATGCAAAGTGACAACTTTCAGGTAACATATCCAAAGGAACATGCTACTCGCCCATTATATATACATTATTGAAGCATACATTGTCATCCATTTGTGTTTACAGTGACAAGCTAAATGAATTAAGGCGACAGAAAGAGAAATTGGAGGAGAAGATAATGGATCAGTATAAATTTTATGAACCATCTCCGCCAAGAAGGTACTGATGAACATAATATAAAAATGAACACAAATCTAAAACGTGACATACCTATTCTGTTCCAGCTGAAAATCAAGATTTCGTTAAACTTCAGAGGAGCAGAATCATGTCTGCGTTCTTGCATACAAATTAGAAAAAGTCTGAAGACATAAGTAATGTATTATAAACGCAATAAATGTGCTGTATTATTGATAACAGAAGGGGCAACTGGATTACTCTGAAAATGAGGAAGCTGATAAAGTCTAAGAAGGATGTTAATCGAGAACGTTTGAAGTCCGTGACACTTACGCCTACCCGCTCAGAATCCAGTGAAGGATTTCTTCAGCTGCCCCACCAGGACAGTCAGGATAGTTCCTCTGTGGGCTCAAACTCTCTTGAAGATGGCCAGACCCTGGGGACCAAAAAGAGTAGTAGTGAGTACTGCAAAACATTTTTTTCTTTTAATAATCCTTGTCTAAATGTCTTTTTGATATGATGAGAAATTAAAAGGAGCTGGAAAAAGCTATGTGTTTTGGAGTATTTTTAGAGATAATTTTTTAAGCCTTTAGGAACAAAGCCTGAATTCCTTTATTAATGACAGATTTCTGCTGACTTCTTGCAAACTCCTTGAGTGTTTGGGCAGGAACTAGCTTTTAGCGGTTCTGTAGCTCTAAATGTAAATGTTAAAATACATTTACGGTGCTTGGGTAAGGTGAAGCAGGCACTGTGACTGGGTCAGGTAAGCAGAATTTTGGATAGAATGTCAGATGCCACCACTAGTACCCTTTTTTGTTTCTCCCTCTTGTCCCAGCATGAATCCTTCCCCTTGTCTTGGAAGTGCGTTCCAAGCCATGGCTATGTTAACATCCTTTAGTTGCTAGAAAGATCTTCTGTCTGAAGGTGTTCCTCCAGCGTCTTACAAAACCAGTGATGTAGAATTTTGATAGTATTTGAATATGCAATAGGAAGAGCTAATGTAGGGACATAACCTGTTGGTTATGATTGGTACTGATCCTAAAGATTAGAGTTAAGTGGCTGAGAGGAAGACTGAGGAGGGTTACAGAGTTGTGGATAGATCAAATATTCCAGACACAATTTGCTAACCTTGAAGGAGCCTGACAGCCATTATATTGGGATGCCCACAGTATAAAAGGCCAGATTCTGTGCAGCATGTACATTTATTACCTGTATTTTTTGTTATCTACTCTTGGCATGAATTGTAAACTGCCCAGTTTCTCACAACTTGAGAGATAATATTACAGCAAGTTATCAGGTTGTAATGATTCTATTTAATAGTTATGCACCAAAAGCATTTTGGCTGTGCATGTAAAAGCATCAGAATACATGGGTATTGACATTCACTTAAATTAAATCTTCGCAATACTTTTTTAAAATTCAATGTCTTGGGTTTCAAAAGACAGCAAATTGATATTCTGGATTTTGTGCCAGCTGTGAATTTGCTGTGTTAAAAATGATTGAAGCCATTATGATGTGTTTTTTTTTCTTCTGTGCTTATTGCAGAAGCTTTGTCAAAGTTAAAAACATCTAAAAGCACTATTTCAGGGAAACTTAAAATCAGATCTGTGATTATTTTTTTTAATAACTGAAGAAAATAGTAAGTTTAAGGGTACATTTTATCACTTTAGTTGCTAACTTGTCAATTTGAGAAGCTTAGCATTTTTCAGTGTAAGGGTCTGTTAAGGTTCAAAACAGGTACTTTTGAATTTTAAAAAAAAGCAACTGTTGCTTTTACATGTAAAATGGAAGTCTTGTGGAATTCAGGAATGACTGAAGCTATAGTGGATGTGTTTGCAAGTGTGCTAGTTTGAATCAAGAGTGTGCACGCTTTGGCTCAGACCATCTGCATCTGTGTCAACAATTTCATGTTCTGGAAGGGCTCTTTCATGTGACAGTTTTCTTTGCATGATACTTGGGACCTTGTAGTGTGCAGTTACCCTCCTGGCGGAGCCATGGTTGAAGTTACGGTGGCTGATCCTCAAAAGAGGTTTGAAGTTGTTCAGACCTCATTAATTTTCTACTCCATGGACCTTGTTCATGTTCCCCTTAATCCCAGTGTATTTATCCACAAACTGGAAGGGCTGATCTAATTCTGGATCCTAACCTTCCTCTATTACATGTCACCATGGAAACCACAGCTTTTGATAGAATTTGGATGAATTATGTGCCAGTTCAATGCTGACAGTCTTACAGTTTGCATCTCAGAAAGTTGAGAGAGTATCTCAGTGTGAGAAGTACCGGTAATGGTGCACATTTTGCAGTCTATTTCTTCTGCTTTTAGCATGACTGTAAGTCCTAAATATCAAAGTACCGTGGCTCCTTTCTTTTCTATAAGAAGTGGCTTGGCAGTAGTAGCAGCTTCCGTTGAAAGAAGCTACAAGAAAGAGAAAACCTCTCAGTTGGCACCAGTCTATGCAAATCCTCAGGTATTGTAGCTTTCCACACTGGTTGAAGGCACTTTTGGGTACGGGAAGAGACAGGTTCTGTTCCACCCTGATGATCTGTGTCTGGGAATGGAGATGGTTCCAAAGGGAACTGCTGAGGTGAACTGTCCTGCATGTCCTTCAGAAGGCATGAGAAGACAGCTTACATTCTCCAAATTGCAGTCACTGGCACAAATCAATGGTGTTCTCAAAAGCTGGAGGATGGAGTATCTGACACAAAGTGATCTTTGAGATTGTATAGGTTTCCTACCCCATATCCGATCTCAGAGAAAGCAAGAGGAGATACTGATTCCAAAATGAATTATTCTGCTACCACTACTGATAAATACGTTGGCTATGCAAAATCTGTAGATTTTCTTCTTTTGAAGGTGGTGATGGAGACTGTTTTCCTAGTAGAGAACACTTTCTCATGCAAATGTTTTAAAGAGACCTATTCTCTTACAAAGATAGCTGATCTTGGTGCAAAAATCAGGTTACCCTGTTCTGCAGAGAAAAAGGCACCTGAGGTCTCACAGAGTGCTTTAATCCCTTGTTCGATTCCAGAAGTCCTATGGAAAGGAGAGGGTGCCTGTATGCGTATTAGTGTATGCAGCACAAGTTAAATCCTGCAGGCCTGTGGATACTGTATGCTCCTCTGACTGCAGAGCTTCTCCTTTGCTTTTCGTATCTGTATTCAGTGGTTGAATGAGGTGAGTACCACAGATCTGACATCTGCTTTGTGCAGAGGCTTTTTTCTCAGGGGGGATGGGATGCTATTCTGAGCTTTTGCAAAGAAAACCCCAAGGCAAGCAAGCGGAAATTTTTTTCTATGGAGAAAAACATTGCTTTTGCTAGCTTCCACTTTAGCCATGTCAGATTATTAACAACCTCCCAAGGAATTCGGGCTATTAGTAAACGTGTCATCTTTAAACAGTAATACCAGTAGCAGACGCATCGTATCATAGTGGAAGTAAAAGAAGTGTATTTGGCTCCATTTTCTATTACCAGAACATTCAGAAGATGTCTGACTAACATTTTCTTGTGTGCATAAGCAAAACTACTTTAGGACTTTGATGCTATCCGTACAGAATTCCCCAGAGTATTTCTGACAAACAGTAGGAGGATTACAAAATGGACGATTTCCTGATCAGTGAAGCAATTCTGCAATACTTATCATTCATTCTCAGCTCAGAAAGCAAGAACATGTTCACAGAATACTGAAAAGAGAAGAAAAGTTAATTAATTGTAACTGGAGTTCTTTGGGTAGATGATTACAAAGACCAAAGTAGTCATCCTGCCGTGTCTGTTTTAAAGCCTGTTGGAATAAAAGTGTAAAGAGCTAAAGCTGCCTCAGCTAAACTTCTGTGATGGATGGCCTGTCTGTTTCTGCCATTCCAGTATTTTTTGCATTTTTAGTTGTATTCTATGCAGAAATTACTTATGTTATTTCTCCTCTCAATGAGGTTGCATTTTACCAAGGGACAGGTTTTGATGTACAAATTCCAGGACATCAGTCGTGGCAGGGGAGTTTCCTGTTTGGAACAGTTGCTGAGAGCCATAAATCAGTCCATTTGGAGATGATCTGTGTTAATGAACAAGATCCACAGATTACTTGAATGATTCTTGAACATCCTCTGGTTACTTTTTTAATAAGATTAGAGTGGACTTTTTTAATTAAGAGGGATCAGTTACCTTGTCCATAAAGGATTATAGAAGTTACAAAAGAATCACGTTTCACCACGATGACAGAAAGTAGAAATAGAACAGAATTACCTGTTTGGTTGGATGGCATTAGTGTGAAAACTGATTAGTTAGTTATCTGTTAGAAAACTGATCTGATGCTGTGCCTCATTCCTTTGGCAAGGAGCTATTCAAAGGTATGTACTTTTATGTACAATTGGACAGACAACATGCGTGTCTTCTTTATGGGAGATTTAGCAGCCTCTCTGCTTTTTTTTTGAGCCTGAGTCAGCATCTATGTTTGTGTTGGTTTTGGCTTGTTTCCTCAGGATCTATAAGAGGAGAAATGCTTTATTGATCTGAAAAAAAACAAACCAAAACAAACTGGTTGTTTTGAAGTATCTACAAGTATATGTACATAATATAGTGAATAAGTCAAAGGTGAAATTGAACTTTGTGTACTCCTATCTTACATAGGTAGCACACGTGCCTTTCTTTTCTCCCTGTTCTTCCCCACCCCACATCATAAGGACCTGACATGGGGGTGTTTGCTGGCGCTCTCCGGTCAAGATAGATTTATATTCTGCAACTGTGGAAACTTCTGTGTTTGTTTTTGACACTCATGGCTGTGCCAATCATGCATTCATTGGAAGCTGTAAAATATATTGCATTGGAGGCTTCTTATTCCAAGTGCAAACACAGAAAAATACGATGGAGAGGGAGATTTCTTGCTCTTTCTAGGTAGTTCATGTGCACTTGTAAATGCATATGTATATATGTACTGCTATATAAAATAGAAACTGATGTATAACAAGCTGCTGGTTGAGCAGAAAACCAAGGCAAATCACAAAGCACGTGTCATAGAAGTGACTTGAGAGATATAAAACAAGCAGATCTTGAGCCGATAGACTGGGCTACAGTGCTTTCATATCTGCATAAATAAGAACTTCTTGGTAATTTCATTATGCATCTTTTTCTGGATCTTTCCGTGCCAGTTGTTTGCATGTGGCTTCTATATGCTTGGCAGTCAGTTGACGCATTTTGTTGATGCCTCAAAATGCAGGTGTCTGCCAGTAATGGGTTACTAATGCAGAATAGCTGAATCTAAGGACAACATTAACTTGTGATTTCCCCCTCCTCCATCTTTTTTTACTATTTGTAATTTTAACTCTGTTACCTGATATTACAAATCTCAGTCTTCTCTTAGCCCTTCCAAAATGTTACAGCAACACTCACATTTGGATTTTCTTTTGCTATTTCTTTTTTTTTTTTTTTTTTCCAAATCTGGTGGGTTTTGAGCTAAAAAATCTGATGTATACCATTCCAGACAAGAAATCTTGGTTTTATTTTTCTTATTACAGATTTGAAGTGGGTTATTTCAGTAAAATACTAAAATCACTGCACACGAACAGTAGGTTGACCATGAAGTCCGTGTAGATTTTCTATAAGACAGCAGATGACCAAAGTTATTAATGAGCACAAAATGCAACAAATGAAGACTGATAATAGATTGTGTCCTACTAGAGATGCAGGGCAAAACATTACAAAAGTTATTCATCTCAAAAAATAATGATGGGAACATATTTTAAAGTAGAAGTTGTAGCTAGAGTTGCTTTCATTTTAAGCTTTTTTTTGCTCCACATTCTTGTTTATGTTCAAGCAGTGTTATTTTTCACAGTCGAAACTATATAATCGTCAATTTCTATAATTGTCTGCAAAGAAGTTACATTTATTTTTTCAAGAGCTTGGCAGTTAGAACTTTCAAACTGTATTACGCTCTTCACCATTATTTTCAGTGCGTTTCTGAGTATATTAAAAGTTTTCATAATGTAGTTTTCATATTTCAGCGTAGTCTTCATATTTCATTATCACACAGAAACATGAGAATGGTAGTTTTTAGCATAGCATACATAGCTTAAACTCAGACATTCATTTCTGTCCTTAGTTTCAACATTTAACTTCCATCTGTTCTTCTCCCTTTTTTTCTTTCATTTCCCTGTTTCCGTTTTTCCTCATGCTATGACATAAAAGTGGTTGCACTGAAAAGACTGCCCTTTTTGAGGAACAGACCGAAGGAAAAAGACAAAATGAAGGCCTTCTACCGTCGCTCCATGTGTAAGACTTTATGACAGTTCAGCTTCTTTTAAATGGCTACACTGGCTTCCATTACTAATTTTTCACTAACCTCTCCCTGGACTGCGCTGTATTTTTCCTCCTATTTTGCAATGTGCAAGTCCTGCTACAATACAAGGAGCTGGAGCTTTTTCTTTTTTCTTTTTCTTTTTTTTTTTAAAAAAAAACATCAGCACTGAATACTTTATATATGTGCACATGTGCACACACGTCCCCACACGATTACATGCACGAGCACACGCACATACATATATATTCAGTGCATTGTGATTGCATATCTTTGTATACATAGTTGTCTATATACACATGTGCCTATGTGTATATAAATTTACAGTGCACTGTGTTAACTTAAATAGTTCCAAAATGCACATTTCATAAGCCTTTTGTTAAGAAATCACTGTAATTTTTTTTATTTAAAGAAAGTGTAGAAAATAGTGCAAGGCTGTATGGTGGTCTGTCACTCTTCAAGTAATTGTCCGTTACTGTTGCCAAAATGTTGTATTGATTTATTTTATTTTATGTTATTTTTTAATGAGGGGTGGACAATTTTCTCTAGTTTTGTGAAGTAAAGGTGAATATCATCAGATGTCATCTTTTTCAGATCCTTTTATCTGTTATTATGTAAAATACAGTATCCCTGCAGTAACCTGCACTGTACAAGGATCCCATATCATTGTTGACATGATATTGTATTAGCCCATTATATTGTATTGCCCATTTTATCCTTATTCATTCCGTTCTGTCATTGCAAACAGTATATCAAAGCTTCTAACATTCATATTGCGTATCATTGCAGCGCAAGCATGGCGATTATACCTAATAAAATCAGTTTTAAGAACCATACTGAGCTGAAAGAAGTCTCTGACTGACAACACTTCTCATTCATTGAGCTGCTTGCATGTCATAACATGGATGATCTTGTGTTTTTAACTTCCAGTATTCAGTACGCTTTAATGCTTAGAAAACTGTCAGACATTTTGCAATACAAAATACGAACAGAAGCAAATACATTGACCATGCTGATCATTTGCTTTCATTTGCATCCCAGCCATGAATGACCTGGTGCAGTCCATGGTCCTAGCAGGAGGACAATGGACAGGTAGTTCTGAGCATCTGGAGGGTCCTGATGATATATCTACGGGTAAAAGGAGGAAAGAATTGGGAGCTATGGCCTTCTCTACTACAGCTATCAACTTTGCAACTGTCAACTCTTCTACAGGCTTCAGATCCAAGCAGTTGCTAAATAATAAAGGTATAGGTAGAAGCTTTTTGCACCGTGATGTGACTATGTGTAACAGCAATTTTGTATAAATGTTGGGTTTACTTATATTTTAAGTTTTTCAGCAAAAAGCAACCTTAGTAATTGAGTTGCAGTGCTAAGATACTGAATAGGTTTAATAACTGCAGTTATAAAATGTTTCAGGTTTCTTCTTACAGAATGTTACCTAAGTAAAAATGGATTGGTTTGAAAAATATTTTAGTGTGTTTTACGGATTATAAATATTTTAATAATATTTTCATTTTATTTTATCTTACATCTTCTTTTATGTTTCTGTGTATAGATGCTACATCCTTTGAAGATGTAAGTCCACAAGGTATTAGTGATGATTCTAGTACAGGATCAAGAGTTCATGGTAAGATGTGAACTTTAATTATATGAATTAAGGATATATTATGTGAATGCTAATGAAGTTTGCAAAAAAAAAAAGTGAATGGCATCGTTACAAGTGAGCATGCTTTCTGTGATTTTTGTGTATCTTGTGAATGTATAGTATCATTTCTTCAGATTGTTCTTTTCTTTCTTAACTGCTACATCAGATAGATGTTCTATATCTCTAGTAGAAAGTATCTATGAAGTGCATCTGAACAGGATCAAAACATTTTCCCTTTTAAAAATTTATTTGGAGTTAATAGTAAAAGAAAAGAAGTTATAATTTCAGTCCTAAAATAAACAAATCCAAATCTGGCCTCATTTTTCAATGTTTATTGTTCAAGGAAACCTGAATTTGTCATGTACTGTATTTTATAAAATCATTACATGTTCCTTCAAGCAAAGCTATGAAGTGAAAGCTATAACAGATTATTTAGAAGTGAAGCTTTAACTCTAGTATAAACACTTAAAATTAGTACAGGCAACAAACATTTTTGAAGTTAATAACAGTATATTTCCCTTGTATCGGATAGGAGTACAGGACATTATCTGTGCAGATGCTCTTGCTCCTCCTGTTCGTGGCATTTCAACAATGTGCAAGGTTCCTTGTCAAATCTGTTGTAAGTGACCTAATCACGAGCAGCTTTCTGCATGCCCATCCTTTCATCTATAAAATCCTGGTTTCCCACTAACCAGTCAGTTTCAATTCTAAATGTACACTCTATTTCTCTTTTCCTCTCCCTTGTACCTTACTATTCCTGTAGTGCCCTTTACTAAAGTGTCCTCTTGGACTGCCTGGAAATCCTTTCGCTTTCTGATCTGTAAGAAACCGCTTTGTTGACAATGGGCATGCTCAGCCTGTGAAATAGTGCATGATTCCCGCCTCTGAGCATTCTGTGAACAGAATGTAAAGGTACTGTGTCACCTGCCAAAATTTTGTTCATCATGGTGTCTTCCTAATTTTCCATTTAGCTTCCAGACCAGCCAGCCTTGATAGTGGCAGAACATCCACTAGCAATAGCAATAACAATGCTTCACTCCACGAAGTCAAAGGTATGCTGTAGATGAATTTACGTACCTGCTTCATTTCTATTATTTTCTCTGTAAGATCATCTATATAGATTATTTAAAAAAAATTTATCTGACAATGTTTTTTTTTCAGCATTTTATAGCCTTCATGCCTAAAATTAGGAAGGGATACTAATATTACTAGAACTTTTAAATAAATATTAAAATAGTGATAATGGTATATGTTACAAAATATTTTAAACCAAACCTAACCCCAAGTAACAATGTTAGAAAATAAGAATTCCCCCCAAATTACTTTAAAATCACTTATTTTTGCTCCATTTTTTTCTCCTAACATCCTGCTACATGTGCACTGCTTCCATAAAGCTGTATATGTACAACACAAACTGGACACCATGGCATATGTAATACCATCCTGTAAACTTTTATATTTTGTTTTAAAAGATTGATAATGTTCCTGGATTAAGCAGTATTCTCTGAATTTCATGTATTATGAGCCTTGATATAATTTTGTTTATAATGGCCATTCTAGCTGGAAGACCATTGTACATACTAGACTAGAACACTGCCAACTCAAGGCTTTATTTAATATTGATGGGTTGCATTTATTAAACATTGGATTCATAAAAGAGTTTGGATTGTATTAATAGTATATTAGAGTGTGTGTCTCACCGTGATGCTGAACAAGAGTGGAGGCGTATCTTTAGCCTCTTGGAATATAGTATTATGTAGATGGAGGCCCAGATTATAAGTGAAAGGTAGATTTATTCAGAAAAATCATGTCATGTTTAAAGAGCTGTAAGAAGTAAGTCACAGGAGTGCAATTGTATTAATAATAATATATTTGGTTTGAGTAAAAAAGGACAACTGGATTTTTTAGTATTTTAAATAGAATTATTGTTAAATGAATCTGATAACGTTCCAGATTTGAGTAAGGTTATACTGTTTAACAGCTTTGGTATATTTTTTCTTATGGAAATACTTAATACCGTTTACCCCAAAAGCAGGTGCAGTTAACAATCAAAGCAGGCCACAAAGTCACAGCAGCGGAGAATTTAGTCTGCTACATGAACATGAGGCTTGGTCTAGCAGCAGCAGCAGTCCTATTCAGTATTTGAAAGGTCATACAAGGTCCAGTCCTGTGCTCCAGCAGCGAACGCCTGAAACACTGGATAGTCGTGGAAGACAGATCAAAAGCGGTTCTCCTGGAAGTGAAGTTGTTACCTTGCAACAGTTTTTAGAAGAAAGCAACAAGAGTACCTCAAGCGAGGTTAGTTTAAAAAATATTTTAACTATGTACTGTCCCATATGTGGGCACAGAATTAGAAGACTTACAGTGAGTAGAATGGCTTTAAAGCTTTTTGGAGATATTGATTACTCCTGCATTAAGAAGTAGTGTGGACTGTATCCCAATAAACTGTACTTGCTGTATTACGCACAGAATCATTTGGAATTTTACAACTTGACCCTTTCTGGGTTACTGGATTAGGTAAGAAAGTTGATCTCTACTGCACAAAATGGTTCAGTGTACTGATGCGTGGTGTGCTTGTTAGAGTTCAGATGGAAGGCCATAAACTCAACGTAGGTTTACTTTTCTTTTTCCAGTTCAGCACTTGTCTTAAGAAAAAGCTGTTGTCAGATCTGTCTTACATCAACAGGAAGGAAGATGCTTTACTTCATTCCCTGAGGAGAGACTCTTGTCTCCTTCAGTTTCATCTTATTAACTCTGCTGGGCAAAAAACTGACCTTGGAGCTCATTGAAATCTGAGAGGAGTAAGACAAAGAGAATGTTTCTCTAAATCAGTGACAGTTTGTTAGAAGTTTGTTAGAAGCCCAAAATCACCTTGTCTTTGCTATTACTCTAATTTCTTAATCACTAGTTCTTGAGTAGATATGTCTGAAACCTAGAAGTGCTCTAGAATAAAGCAAGCCAGTTACTGTGACTAGGGCCCATCAAGAGCAAGGATCAGATTCCATTTCTTTTTAACAACACAATTGAAATTGAAAAATACACATTCACAGCTGAATTGATTGAGGTAGTCTGGGGTAGTGACTTGAGTCTGGACTAAGTTTCTGTATTTGTTGTTAGATACTTAAAATGACCGCTCACCTGTGGTCTCTCTGACAAGGATTTTTGGTTTTTAAGTGTTAGGCAATACTCTTCTGGCAAAAGAAATACAAGAAGAGTCATGAAGTCTAGTCCACTGCTGTTCATGAATCACAGAATCCCTTTCATAGCATCACAGAATCATTCAGGTTGGAAGGGTATTCAAGAGATCTCTTTCCAGTCTTCTGCCAGAGCGTTTCCTTAACGCTTTTAGCTTAATTCTTTCCAAATTTTCTTTTACCATTTTGAGAAAGACTGCAGTCGTTCTCCACTGAGTCTGTGAATAGTATTCACCTAAACTTTTTTTTCTAGCTCTGAAGTCTTTTCTCCAAAAAGAAAAAATGGGAAGTTGTCCAGTCCAAATTTAGGCACCAAGGATGCCTAAAGATTACGTGCTTTGTATTACTTTCTGAGATTTCTGTCTTTATTGTTTGATTATATAGAGAATTTAAGCTTTGAGCTCCAGATGGTCAGTATAAGTTAAAATAATAGTCCATATGAAATTGCTGAGGAAGGATTGATGAGTTGATGGTAGAGGGCAAGTGAGTGAGAAGATGAAGTTTTGATCATCAAATTTTTCAGTTAATCAGTTTTACGGGAACTGATTCCATAGTTATGATCTGTCTGACACCTGGTTTTCAAAGAACTTGCTTGTAAGCTGTACAGAAAACTCGTGAGTATGTACCATAAATGTTTAATACTACTTTTTGATCTGAGAAATTAAAAAAAAAACTTTGCAGAATTGTTCTTTGTTTATGTCCACAAAGATTGCTTAAGAAACAGTCAAAATTACAATTTATAAATTTGTGAGACGTTTCATATTTTTGACAGATGAAATCTGCAAGTGAAGAGAATCTTTTAGATGAAGTCATGAAAAGCTTGTCTGAGTCTGCGGAGCTGACAGGAAAGGAAAAGCTAAGAAAACAGCCATCTGCCAGTTGTGGTATTGTTAGATCATTAAGTGTAAAAAGTACAGTTGATTTCTCAGATGGACGATCCATTAAACCAGAACAACTTGTAAGGCCCAGCCTTCGTAAAACTGAAGATACCTACTTTACTAGTTCTCCCCTAAAATTTACATCAGGCACTCAAGGGAAGACCAAATCAGTTAAAGAAAAGATACAAGCAACTGTATCACAGCGACAATCAAGAGATTGCAATCCTTATGCTACCTTACCTCGTGCAAGCAGTGTGATTTCTACGGCAGAAGGAACTACTCGAAGGACAAGCATTCACGATTTTTTGTCTAAGGACAGTAGACAACCTGTATCAGTTGATCCAGCACCATCCACCACTGACAGAAGTGTTCCATCGACCTCTAGTGAGTACTCAGCACACCAGTTATCCTCTAATTTTTTTCACTGTGTGGCTTACAGGGTAGATTGTGTTCCACAAAGCAATGCAGCTAATACAGTTAAACCACGTAATTTAGGATGTAAATCTAATGTCCCTAAGACTTCAAGGATGGAAAGGTCAAATTTTCGTGAGGGAACTTTGCTAAGCACAAGTGTGTTTAATGATAAAGTCAGTATATCTGGTAATGACAGCACAGGATCATTTACTGTGTCTCAGCCATTTTTATCCCTTAACACTGAATTAGTTAGTAATATAAGTGGATTGCCTCAAAGATCTACATCAAAAACAACTGATCAGGCAAATCTATCAGCATTTAGATCAGTACCGAAAAATCAAGAACAGCCTTCCGCTAATCAGGAATCTGATTGTAGCTGCCTGCGGTCAGTTCTAACTAGTGAATTTGTTCCTGCCACCTGTGTAAACAGTAGTGAGGCTGAATCCCCGCTCCTGGTTTCTGAAGATAATAAAACTGTGTGGTACGAGTATGGTTGTGTATGATAAGGAAGTTGTATTATTAAATACATATATATAGTCTAACATGACATGTAGGTGGTGTTCTCAATGTCCACTGGCTTTAGAGAAAATTTCACTACAATGAAAAAATAATTTTGTGTTAGAGCTGTACGTTGTTGTTTTATAAGAACAATGGCATAGGGCTTAGCTGTGTACTTGAGCATGTTTGAATGTAAAATTGTAACCTCACCAAAGTTTGCATGAAACATTAATTGCACTGTATATATTTTGCATGCCTTTAAAAATCTTTATAATACAAGCTATATTTTTATTTGTCATGCATTACAAATATTTTGGGTTTTTTCTGTACATTAACTGGATGCATGCTAAACCAAAACGCATGCTGCATTGCCAACAATGGCACCGTGAACAACATCATTTCTGGTACAAAGAAAGTACTTTTCAGTTGTGGTCATGCTTTCGGATGTTCAGTAACACATTGATTATGTATTTGCAGTAAAGATACTTTTCCCCCCTTCTCTCAAAAATGAGATACTAACGAAAAGAAACATTTACAGAGATTTCAGTGTCTTACCCTTTTCATTTATGCCATGTGCTGGCATAAATGCATTTTGCAGAAGGAACAAGTTTTATAGCACAATAATTCAGTACCTCTAGCTTGCACAGTAAATACAAATTACTGTTCATACTGATTAAAATATTTGAACATTAATAAATACAAAGGCCATTCATAATCCTAAACAGAAGTGATAATTCTTACGAAGAGGTAATAAATAGTTACATGATATGCAGCACTTTTAATGAAAAAATGACCCTTTCCACCTTTTCCCTTTTGTATGCTTTATCTTTCCACGTCTGGTGTATAAATGTGGTGAAGTGTACGGTGTTATTAGGAGTCAAATAACAGAGTGATACGAGACTCCTTGCGATGTATGGTAATAAAAACCTGTATTGATCATGGTGGAAACTCATTTTTTCTTCTTAGCAGAAGTAACACTAACCTAATAGAAAACAAGGTGTGTAACAAAAATAACAGAAAAACTGTTAAATTAACACAGCTAAATAAAAGAAAAAATAACAAAAACTTTGCTTGTAAAATTATAGGAGCATAGGAATGCTTAAGGCAATAACTTGTTAAATTCTAGATGATGAGCTAAAGAGAAATGTTGAGAAGTAGTAACTTAATATGCCGCTGTCTTTGCAGTTGCTTGAAACATCCTAATCATAAATACAAGCAGAGTTTAAAATTGTATCATACTTAAACTGCAATTATGTGAGACTTTAGACATTAGCACTTTTTTGCAAGAGGACATAATTGCTGACAGTTATTGTAGGTCAAAATTACATATGCTATAAAAAAAACGAGTGAAAATGTACCTAGAGGAAAAATATTAAAAGTTGAAAATAAATATTAAAAATAATGAATGCCATATTCTGAATTTTATAATTGAATTTATTTTGCTGGCAGTTTTGTGGCAGTCATGGTACTGCTGTGTGGGTTGAACTTTAATTCCTTAGTGTTTAACTAGGGAGGGGTGCTGCAAATACACAGTTCTTCATGGAAAAGCAGCAGACATCACATGTATTAGTCCATAAGGTCTCCATTTCATACAGGAGAATTGGTAATAAAATGTGGAGATAGCAGTTTCCAGTGCTCCAGCTACATTTCAAGGTGGGGAAAAGGAGTGATGGGAGAAGACTGGATGTTTCAAAGGCATTCTGTGGAGGGTAAAATTACTGTTTCGAAATGTAAAGCAGCTATCCTTTACAATGTCTGCAGGCATCCAGTGTTACTGGGCTGATAAATTTCTCACTTCTCTTCAGTGTTATTCACAGCGTGCTGTTAGTTAATGCTGTGTTCTTCTAGAATTGTCTCACTGTTAAAAAAACCACAAATCCAAATCTGAAATACAATCTTAATTTCACAGGCATTTACTCTCACACAGCAAGACCGGTGTTCTGATCTTGGGCCATGTCATTTGACTTCATTTCTGTTAATCTATAGGTGTGTTTGAGTTAGCTTTGAGATGAACAGTGCTGTGATCTGAAGCGATGTGTGCATAATACATTGTGCAAGTCCTTTAAGGAATTACAGAGAAAAATCTTCTTAGCTCTGAGAGTACTTATAAACTCATACTGTGCTACCAGTATCTGTATTTTTCTTAACTGATTGCAAGCCTGTGTCTTGCAGTGAGATTGCTTGTTAGGATCAGAACAAGGTTTGTAGCTAGAGGTAGTATCTTCTGTTTAGATTAACCGCTACTGTTGGAGAAATCGGATCAGCTTTCAGGCATGCTGTTATCTCTGTTGCCAGCCTTGTCTTGCTTAGATCCTTAGACTGTCATGTCTACGAAAAATACCAGTATTGTCTCCAGATATATTTATTACAAACTCTCCAACATGACCACTGAATCCCGATTGTAATCATAAGCAAGGGCAATGTCTAAAGAGAAATTTGAATGGTTCCCCCTGTAGAGTGACATTAAAGCTTGCTATCAAGGCAGCAAAATACATTTCTTTCAGCCGCTGCCCATGGGGCACTTCAGTTTGCATTGTTTAATTTCTTTTCACAGCACTAAGCTTTCACATGCAAACCAAACCTGATAGTGAATATTTATGCCTGATATCTCATGCCACTTTAGCCTGTGTTTTACCTTACTCCATTGCTGGGGTGTTGGGGGGCTGCAGTAAAACAGCTTCTCTCTTAAACACAAAGGGCCTTAGAATACCTGAGTGGTAATGTCTTTGAACACGAGTGTGGCAGATGCTTTACAGGAGTTCTAGACTATCATTGTCCAGCCCACGCTACTGGTTTGCACTGTTTTACAGATTTGTAATGAATTGCATTTCAGTTCTGAGGGTAATAACTTTTTGTGCTCCTACTTTTGCTCCATCGAGTTCAGCTGCAGCAGCGAAAGAAAGCATGCTGCTGGAGACTTTCTGATGTCTCTGATAAACAAATTGTCAACATTTGTTTATTACATATGAAAGAAAACAAATGTTTTTATGTACAGAAGGATTATTTTTTTCCTCCACTTTTTGGTCTTTACGCTTTAACAATACATACATCAGGGATGTCTCTTTCGGTCTACGTTCAACTTGTGGAAGGGTCTGTGAAATTCCTTTCAGCCCAAATCCCCGCTGCTCCTCGGCCAGTCAAATGGCTGACTGTAAATACATGGTGCGCTTGCTCATTCCTTGGTCCCCACTGCCTTTAAAAATGATAAGTTAGGACTCTGCATGGTAATTATAAACACTAAATACGTGGCTGCTGGCCAAAAAAGGTTTTGTTGTTCAGGCTCAGTAATTTGCTTGCAGTTAAAGGTTTGCTCGATGCTTTGCTTTAAGAGCATAGTAAATTAAGATACTGCATTTCGCATGTTCAGGCTGTTGCATGCAAAGATAATTTTCTGGTTTGCAGAATTGACCATGAACATTTCTGTCAATGTGTAGCAGGTAAAAATGCAAAGATGAGTTAAGTTCTCTGCTAGGTTCAGTCAGCATTGATTACATCTGATTACTTTTCTCTTCATACAGGCAGAGACTGAGCGTTAGTTAGTGTATCTAAAAGTTAAGTATATCTGATTGTGACTTTGAAAATAATACCTGGTTATTCTAAATGCTAAGATGAATTTTAATGAGTGCAGTTAGGTAGGCACTTCCAGTCAGTTTCCTCTATCCCTCTCCTCTGTCCTCTCCTCTTAAAAAAAAAAAAAAAAAAAAAAAAAAAAGTGTGTTTATATATCCTTTTGCTCTACTAATAAGTAGAATGTATTTTAATGCATGAGAGGTTTTTTTCATGTCCTGATAAACACAATGAATAACATGAAATGCTTTTCTCTGCAGATGTGGAAGCTATACCAGAAAGCAGAAATTCAAAAAGCAGGTCTAGGGAGCAACAAAGCTCCTAATTCTATTACCCACTACATGAGATGTGGGCCAAGTGGTGAGTTTCCTGCCCAAAATGTAAATGAGATTAATTTCATTTACAACAAACTAACAGCATTACCTATAAGAACAAGTGCACATTGCATTAACAGATGTAAATACTGCTTGCTTAACTGGCTTCTGTCTGTCTTACTAGTTAAGCCAGAACAGGTTGGTTTACAGCAGTTATTTTGCCTGTGTAGGCAGGCATCTCATCCCATTTAGACCTTTGCCTGTAAAAATTGCGTTTATTTTCACTTTTCAAATCTCTGGAAGAAGGAAGTTCAAAGAAATTACATTAAGAAGTAACACTGAAGTCGGTTCTTAGAAAGGGACAGATAAATCTAAAGGATTTATAAGTTTAACGAAACTTATAAAGTGTTCTATACCACAAGGAAACTGCCTTTTTATAAAGCTTGGCTTTGGCATTCTGTCCTTCTCTTGGCTTCATTAAAACATCTTTGACGCATGCTATTAGTGCTGTTAGTTCTGTTAGTGACTTAACTCTGTATTTTATACTTCTACGCTTTAAGCTTTTCTTATGTTCTTTTCTCTTTCCACCTTTCAACTGAACACAGAGAGAAAAGTGTCCTTCAGTATCTCAGTGTGAAGCCTTTATATCTGAAGTTACAAGACAGCGACTGTAGGAATCATTAATAAAAATTAAGGGAATTTTTTACATTCTTCGTGACTAGAGCAGGAAAGAAATAAAAACCTACCTACCTTCCTTCCTTGAATCAAGGAGCTCTACTGGAGTCTACTGCCGAAAATTTGTAGATGGTCTTAGGAATTATTGCACATTGCACTGTTAAGATCTACTGAATAAAGGACAGTTCTCATCTCCCTAAGGACCAAGAATTTTAAGGTCTCAAGAATTACTCCAGGGAAAAAAGAAAAACAAAAACAAAACAACAAACTTCTTTCATCTTCTGTTTATGAAATTAGCCACTGATTTGCTTAAGCTTCTGCTAATAATTAGCCAAAAACCCCCCCCGTAACTAGCAGTTTATATTTTAGTTCTGTAAATCTAAAATAAATGCTGTAGTATTTTGTTGAAATTGACTGTATATACACATACAAAAACCTCTCAGCTTACTGGCACTTCACTGCCTTATTTGGTTAGCATAATCTGCATGAAATTGCTCTTTAAAAAGTTTATGCTGATTTTTGTTGCATACTGCAAGAGAAAAATTTGTTTACATACATGAAGAAGTTCAATAACTAACGAAAGTGGGAGTCATGGGATAATCGTATTATATAGAAGTTGTTTGTCATTTATGTTTTTCACATTCCCAAGTTATTCTGCATATGTATGTTCAGGTGTTTCTGACAGGAAATTGTCAGGTATGGGTTTTTCTATAACTTTTATTTTAATATAAGGCTGTTTTCAACAAATGGCATTTCCAGGATAAGACTGTCTTACGATGTTTGTGTACTGACTAATTTTTTTTTATTGTTTGTCTTTTGACATGAGCTGATTGTGGCTTAGGAGGTTTCTTGATGGCAAAAAGAAATGTAAATAGTATCATACGCATTTTACAATCAGTTCCCCTTAAGGTTATCTTTTACTAGCAAGATACGTTTTGTTCACTGTTGATTTATATTAAAGTCAACAAATGTTATTGGTACATTCAGTGGCTGCATACATTTGTTGTCTTGAAAGCATTTGGAGAGAGCTCCAAGGAAGCGTCCATGAATCTATAAGCAGATCCAAAATGAGTTGTCATAATTATGTTTTATTACAAATCCATCAGCACGTTCATGTTCCTGTTCTGAAGGGTTAAGTTAACTGTGTAACCTCCTAGTGTCCCACCTTCCAACACGTAAGGTCACGGCTGTCTCCATTCACACGGTGCAGGTAAGCAGGACACATTTGCAGACCCAGGGTCAGGGGCTATCTGTAGATCAGTCCCGCTGCTGCTTGGGCTGCCTGGTGGAGCTGCTGCAGCTTCGCCAGCTTACTGACAGCAGCTTTCTTGAGGCTTAGAGGTGCTGTCATTTATCAGGGACAGTTGGAACAGAATCATTTTTCAGTGGAGAGAATGCAGTTCAACAGATGGAAAAAAATATTGGCAGGTCGTTGTTATATTTTCCTGAAATTTTGTCAAAAAAGGGCAAAAAAGAGGAAAGTGCAGTCACTTTTAGAAGGGGACATTTTCTTGGGTTTTTTCCTTAAAGTGACTTTCCTTCTGAAATACTTTCTATGATAAAATGTGCTATAAGATCTAGATCTAAACAGAGTATTTTGGTTTTACAATATAAATACTTGGTTCAGCCTGGGATTGTTCTCACAGAGAATTCAAATGTTTTTTGGATTTTTTTTCCTTAGGTGAAAATAGGACCAATTTTGCAGCTCTCCACCATATAGAATCCCCATTTTTCCTCTGAAGACCTTTCTGGTATTTCATTAAAATCACTGGTTTACTTTGATCACCAGCTCACACTGGCAGCCACTTCTGGTCCCTTATTCTCAGTGTCACGATTTTCACTGATTTCAGTGGAAGTGTGGTGAGTTTTGCAGAGTATCACACAGATGATTAGCCATCCCAGGAGTGATCTGAAGCCCAGTACACCCCTGAAATCCAGCTCCACGATGGTTTTGCAGGCAGCCTGAGCTCAGTTGCATTCAGAATAATTTCCCACTTTGTAACTGATGCTGCGATGTTTTTGAGAAGGATTCAGGGTGTTCCAAGCCGTGCAGTGACAGCTACAAGATGTCACCAGAGGGGCAGGTGGGATGGATGGCAGTGGCTAGAAGAGGTGCGGGATGTCAGGGCCCGTATACCTGCAGAGACCTGTACACAGGTAGTTTGTGTGTTCCTGTATGTGCTCAAAGCTCCGAGTACCGCTGAGTTTCTCCCCTGCTACCAGGTGAGACCGAGCGAGCCCTGGCATGCTCGAGGAGAAGAGCACTCTAAGCAGTAAGAGTCTGGTGTTGAGCCTGGTTTCTGTGCTGTTCTGTCCTGCAGTACGGGCAGAGCCACAGAGACTTAAGGAAAAGTTGCCTTTACAGAACTTCATAGATAAAGATATGAAATCTAGAACGCTGGTAGTCCTTACTAAAGGCATCACTGTTATGAAAAAGAAATGAAATACCATAAATATTAGGAAAATGCCTCATGATCCTAAGTTACAATATTTTCAAGCTCATTTCAGGGTCTGACGGTGGCTGGATTCTTCTTGCTCTCTTTGACAACAGAGGACTGATGCATTCCAAACTATTAAACCCTAGCCATTTAGTAGCGTTAACTATTTTTAGAGGAACATGTGTGTCTTGAATTAACAGATTTGAACTGTAGTGCCAAATGCTGTTTGCATTCCCAGAATCCAAGCAGCCGTGTGTGTCGAGGTAGATTCTCCGAGACCCTGGGAATTAGGCAAGAGTGGCATATCGCCATGACTGCGTGGCACGTGCCCCTCTGCAAGGAGCATGGCTGGGCACACATAACCTGCCCTCACCACGCGTGGCTGTGTCATTTTCGTCACACGGGCATCAACAGATGTTTGATTTATTAGCTCAGCTCTTGTCTGTGTTCATTAAGTCATCCCAGACTACCCGTCACAACTTGTTCACTTGCTTTTTGCGTATTATTATTACACCTTAAAGCATCTGTGCAGTCACAGCCAGGGCGTAGTCACAGCCAGGGCGTAGTCACTTTACAATTCCTATTTAATAGGATAACTGTATTAGAAGTGAACCTCCCTCATCCAAAAACCCAAGCAAAGTTTCCTTGTATGAGAGAATCAGCAGGAGGTTGGGGGCAGGATTCACCCTGTAGGTCAGGCTTGTGCACCAGAGTCCTGGCTAGTGCCTGTCGGTGCCACTGTAAGCAGGGTTCGACCCACTGCGTCTGCATCCGTGCAGAGGCCAGAGTGAGATTTGGGGTTGTATTTGCTCAGTTATCCAAAGGCAGCACCGGGGGCACGTTTGCATTTACGAGATCAGAACTGGCTTCTCCCAGCGCTTCCTTTTGCCAAGAAGGTTCAGAGCAGAAGAGCAGTCAGGAAGTCCTCTGTGCTCTGGTGATTTTTAAATCCTTTTTCCATTCTTAATCTTTCCAGTGTGTGCCCTTAAAATAAAATAAAACAGGAAATTTAATTTGGGAGCTGCTTCACATTTTCTGAAACACAGACTCCCAGGGGAAGAACACGGCAGCTGTTGGACAGCATACGACGATAGTACACAGCTTTTTACTGCAAGAGTTGCCAAATCTGTCACTGCTAGTTCAAGATTACAGAAGAGGTTGTAGAACTATACATGTATAATTTTTATTTACTTTTCTGATAGTCTGCTGAGGATTTAGTAACATTCCCAACACGTATTATTTTTAAAGTTTTTCCAAGACATGATGCAGCCTCAACAAAGGAGCTCATGTATGGTTTTTAGAGTTAGATGATCATGTATATGTAAATAATGCTTTGATATTAATAAAACTGCCTTAAAGGAATGTACCTAGGTGTGAAACAAAACTTAAAAAGCTCTTATTTAAAACTGTAATTTCCTTTACATATTGATTTTTTAAATGTTTGCCATTGTATACATTTATTAATGATGTTATTAAAATGCCAAACCAAATAATTTTTATTCTTATTTTGTGTGTACATTTATACACACTTTTTCTGGAAACTGATGTTGCTGGAAGGATGTTGGTGTAAAGTGATGGCGTTGTGGTCCATTGGTGATGTGTTCAGTATTTCTTCCAGAAGGAAACTGATAAAACTAGCAGAACTTTTCTGGACAGTGTGTAGTTTGTTTTGTGGTGTTTATTTGTGTAGACCTGTGTAGCTTTTAACTATACGCTATTTTGATACTATTTAAAAAAGACACTAATTTCATAAGTAAATACAAAAAGAAATCATTATAGATTTGCCAAATGTAGTATTTGAAGCTTTGATTTTGATTGGTTGTTACTTTTGCTGAGACAAGTCTCAGAATCTCTTCTGAGGACAAAGGTAGTTAAATTTTAGGTAGTACAGATTTTAAGATTCGTGAAGCATAGTGAACTGCTGTTGTGCACATGTCTTTACAACAATTTTTCATGTTTAAAGCTTTCTGGATTCAAAAACCTTGACAAATCAAATTTAGTTTTGTAAGTGATGCAGGATTTTGGGGTGCCACAAGGAAGAAACCTTAAAGGGGAGGGATAGTGAGTGGTAGGCAGAGGGTCAGTGAAATTTTAAAGACACATAAGACTGTATCTTAATATCTAGCTAATTTAGCAATACATTTGTTAATCCAGAGTTCATTAATCAACTCAGTATTCCCAAATATGAAATGTTCCTTTCAGTCTTTCGTTTAACAGCAAACACAAAATCACGTGTCTGTGGATATCTTTCTAGTGACTATCCTGTAGCTTCAACATCTTTAGGTCGCTTCTTTCCCAGCTGAGATGACTGACATGATACATGGTGTTGGTTTGTCTTTCTGCAGTGGAGGGGAGAACTGAAACTGCTGTGTCATAAGTGTCCTGTCCTTAAGGTCACACCTCTGAGAACAGGTGCCAAGTCCTTCAGAAATGAAGGACACCATGGTAAGGTCATCTCCAGAGGTCCCTTCCAACCCCTGCCACTCCATGATTCCTTAAGAGTGTTTGGGAAGTAACTTGCCTTGCCCTAGAAGATGCTTTTTCTTACCAAGTTAATGGTAGTTGTTAATTCTATAGAATTAAAGATTTCACTTTCTTACACAGGGGAAAAAAAAAGCCCCAAGTGTTGATGTTCTCATAGAACTGTCTCAGCCATCTAGAATGAAACTGAGTCAGATTGGCTGATTTTTGCCTTGTGTTTCTTTTGAAGTGTTTCCCTTTATCGTTGGGAGAACCACATCCTTAGCATGATGCAGTAGCAAACTGTCATCCAAGATCACAAGTCCTTTCATCTGGTTTTTTTTTCACT